GCTTTGAAGCAAAAAACATGTCAATGTCCTCTTTTACTCCTTCCACATTTGCATATGTTTTCCTATTAAGATGGTGTTGCAGCGAACGAAAAATATTGTAATCTGATGGTGCCATATCTGGAGAATGTGGTGGGTGGGGGAGAATTTCCCAACCCAACTCCATAATCTTGTGTTGTGTCAAACATGGCACATGTGGATGTGCATTGTCATGGAGAAAAAAACACCTTTCTGATTGATGAGTGAAGGGCTTGATTTAAATGTTCCAAACTTGGTCAAAACTTCAGTACAAATTGAGAAATTAAAAGGATATTAGCACCCACATCTATAATTTTTTAGGATGCATATTTTGAATTGGTTTCCACAAAAAGTTGAAAATGTTTAGGGAGATGGGTTCACTGCATGAATTCCTTTCTAGTTAGTATTTGTTTCCTTGGAAAATGTTTCTTATTTTGAAGTACTATCATGGACAGAATGTACTCTGATGTGAGGTTAGATGTTAAGTTTCACATGATGTCACTAACTTTAAATTTATGTTTAGATATGGTTGATACTGATTTTTTATTTCTGCTGATAACATATTTGAAAACAGAAACCATTGAAATATTTGTTCATTTGTAGTTTCAGTAGTTTGATAAACTTTCTAATATTGGTTAAGATGTAATGACATTTTTTTATAATTTTTTTATTTTCAGATTAACGTTTGTTGTATGTTTTATCTATAGCTGTGTGAATTGATTGTAGTTGTACATTGACTTTGTATTTTTAATTTCCTACCTTCTTCAGAAAATTCTCCAGATATAGTTGTTATTCATGATGGGGTTCGCCCACTTGTGCCTCCTGAGATTTTAATTGAAGTGGTTTGTGCAGCAAAAGATTATGGAGTAAGTCAGCTTTCGTCATTTGTGTACCTAGGTAGTACTTTTTTTAAAAGAAATATTAACTTTTTCATTTATTTCAAAAATCATAACTACAAAATCTAAGCTGATTTTTAGTATTTTATTATGCATTATTATTGGACTTACTCAAAAGTTATGTATTTAATGTTGTTGTGTCTAAAGTTTTAATGATATGTTATAGAAAAAACACAGTATAACAATAACATATACCTGCACGAGATGAAACATGACAAAATAACGTATGGAGGGAAAGAGATCATACAGGTGAAAAAATAACTTGGAAGATACACATGTGAAATATACTGAGAATTAGTTAAAATTAAAAATTAAAGCAATATGTTTATGCTTCATAACAGTACAAAAATGAAATATTAATACACTTCTTATAGCTTTAGTAGACGACTGTCAAAATGAAAATATTAAAATAAATAACCTTCTACCACAGTCAATGTGTATAATATAATAATTAATGTGGAAATTAAGCAGGAAAAAATTATACATAAAATATTTGAAATTGTTAAATAGCTAATTGAAAGGTGAAACTAAGGAACCAATTATGAACAAATGTTATTCAGTCAAGTCTATGTTCAAGCCTGTTAAGATGGTTATTTTATTTTGTTTTTTCAACTCTCTCTCTTTTTTTTTATATATATATATATATATATAGGAGGGTGTACAAGTAAACTTACCACTATTGAACTAATTCTTATTTTTTACGTTTTTTTTTATTACGTACGTTAGGTTTAACTTTAACTCAC